CCTTGTGCAGGATCCCTCGACTATGGAGAAAAGATGAGCGTGAAACGGTATATATATATATATAATATCTCAAAATGGGGAGACCTAGCGCAAGAAGAACAATGAACCGAGAGTACATACAACTTAAGGATCGATATGCAAAAACAACTGCCCAAAACCGCATGCTGTCCTCCAATGATTTCATTCTGAGACAGACTCTGTCACACGCACACCACGCTCTGCTTGGGCGCAGGAGACCCGTGAGGCTTTGTTGACATTGGGGCTTCACCAGCAGCTCTTAGAGTCGGACCAGCTCTCGGCGATGTACACCTTGAGCAAGGGAGGTGGTTGGCGAGGCAGGGATGGCGGAAGGCATTGATGCCGCAAATATGTTTTGTACAAAGCATGAGACTCAACACCGGAAGGATATGTTAGAAAGAAGGGAAAGGCAACGGGAAAAGAGAAAGGGAAAAGGGAAAGGGAAGAGAAGAGAAGGGAAGGAAGAATGAAAGAAAAAACTAAGTCAAGTTTCCCAAAGAAACAAGGAACTAAGTCGTTAAGCCTAAGCCCCTGCGAGTCCAAGATGCAAGAAACTACTTAAAATTCTACTCATACTTACCCAAAACTACTATAACTGCTTGAACCACTAGCTACTTAAACCTCTTCATGAACGAAACAAGAAGATTTGTAACATAGTCAATAGTCAGCACTGGACGCGGGGGCGACCAGTACTTTCCTGTCCCGATGCAGGGGTGACCTTTGATGCCCGGACGAACAAGCGGCTTTCCAAAGCCTTCGGAAGCTTTGGACCTCGCAGACGGTCTAGCTACTCCAAGCGACAAAGCTACACCCGGGTGGGCAGCAAGTGGAGCGCTCAGGAACTGATGAACCTAGTGAATGAGCATCAACTTTTTCTTCAAGAAGTCTTGCTCAAAAGAAGCTTTAACAAACCTCGAGTGATTTTGGTTGTTTTCATCCCAGGCTGGACAAGCTTGAGGCTTCGAACGGCGTGGCCTCCATGAGCAGGAATCGCTTGACAACCGACGGAGCAGACGGCAATATTGAAGTGGCTGCGGTCCTAGACTTCCAACGCTTTGTCTCTGACTCTGGACGGCTCAGTGTGGAATTTGATGAAGAGGCCGCCAAAGAGCTATCAGACGAGGACAGGGTTGACACGGTGATAAACCGCAAGAAGCCGGGGTTTGGCACAGTAGAGGGTTTCCCAATCCTTGCCCTGGATGAGGAGCCGAATCCTTCCAATACCAACATGATGTTGAATCGCTACTCAGTGGGTGCGAATCTGGCTAACCTGATGGGTAGAACTAGCGTAGGTGACTTGGAGTTCAAGCATGATGACTCCAATGCTGACGATTCGTAGAAAGAGAAAAGCTGGAGCGCTCGTTCCCCCCAATTAATAGCACCCAAATAGTACCTGCTTGTGAAAACACGTGGCATACAAGGTATAATTTGTAATGCACTTTGAATTTGCATCCTGAACATTGTTAATCTATTATATATATATATATATGTATGTATGTATGTATGTATATTAAGTAGACACTCTGACTGTCTGACTGCTGACTGCACTCCAAACGTGTGTGCACTTGGCTTCAGCATTGCAGCTGAACTCTCGCTATCGAACCGGCAAACCTCACGGTTCCATGACGTTCCGTTTCGTGCAGCTTTGTGCTGTGCTTGCCACAGTTCAAGCTCTGACCCTTCGCTCAGAAAGAGCCGTGATCACAGAATTCTTGGAGGAGAATCGGAGTGATTTTTCCCCTCCTCCCCACCCCCGGCACTATCGGTTTATGGCGACTTCTACGCGATATGGAACCAATCCCCACACCGCTTGCGGCCTCGATTCAGCTGCACTAGTGCATGGGACTGGGTATTTGGCAGTGGCTTCTGCGCAGGCCATGCAGGATGGATGTTGCCGATGCAATCGAAATGGTGGAGGAGGACACACTGCCAGCATGGGATGTGGATCCTGCGGCAAGGGGAGATTTGTCCGACAATTGCCACGAGGCTTTAAGATTTGGACACCGGCAGAGGACAAGATTTTTCACGAGGAGTACAAGTTTGTGGTTGTGGACATTTGCCCAAACTCCCACAATTCCATGTGGTGCCCCGCTAAAGCTGGACAGGTCAATCAGTTTGGTGTCCACAATCACTTCGACTTTGCGACTGTACCTCACCACTTTGACAACTACTACTTCGAATTCACACCTGAGCCCTGTGACCAGCAGATGCAATCCCGCTTGGCCCAGATGTCCAAATGTCACTTGCGATGAGATCTTGCAAGAAAAGTGGCTTTGTAAGCACATAGAACGTTGAAGCACGATGAACAATTTAATGTGCCCATTCTGTTCGTTATTTTGTCAACCTGAGATGAACCGGTGAAACAAGGTGACACGTTGTGTCTTTCTAAGCTAGAAACACTTTTTCTTTTGCATCGTTTTGCCTCCTTGTGCTCGCCTATACTTTGCTTGTGCTCGCCTTGGGTCTTGGATTTCACTACAGATGTTTTTAAGTATATATATATGTTTATGATGATCAGGATCATGAGTTTCAGCCCTGAAACCACTGGCCAGTCCGCACCATCCTCTGCTCAGCCAGGCCGCAAAGCCTTGGGCCCACGCTACATCGAGTTTCATCCAACCCTTCCTATTGCCTATGTGGCACGGGCCTTGGCTTATTGTCGAACATGGTGGCCCAGGACGCCCCCGAGAAAGTAGTAGTAGTCGTGCCCTCCCCCCCC